AAAACCGGTTACGGAATAAATCCGGAGAAGTGAGAACGTTTTTTAAGTTTAAAACAATATTTTAGGAAAGTAATCTTATCAAGCGCGATATATGGATCTACCATCAAGTATGGTTCATGCTATATAGTGTGTCATGGGCTGTACATAACTGTACAGATAAACATAAGAAAGAAAGAGGGAAAGGAGAAAAAAGAGATGGCAATGTGTTACAGTAACATATGTCCATATAATTCCAATTAAAATCCCAATAATATTTTTAAATGTTACTTGACTGTGAGTGTCAAAGTAAATATATAAGTTGCCATCTGTTTATAGTTTTTATTTCTGTAAAGTAAAATATAAAAAAGAATCAGTAATGCTACAATTCCGTAATCTCCTCAAACTATAATAATAAAAGTATAAGCACATATAAAACGCCTTTGGTTCTAAAAGTGTGTTTATTTATGTGCAATAGCGTATACATCTTAAGTAGGTATTGCACCCAGAAAGTGGCAAAGGACATTTATGCACTTACTCACTAACAAACCTACATACACACACACACATGCATATATGGTAAAGCGATTCAGAATAGTAAAGTAGCATACACGTAGAAAAGCTTATCACGTTTCAGAACAAAGCCATGACTTTATAAGCCAAGAATAATGACAAAGAAGAAACAACACGTATTCGTATCTTGTTTTATAGTTGCTATTGCAACAGTAAAAGTAGCAGCAGTACCAGGACCATCAGAAATAACCACATATGTAGATACGATACAGTGCGATGAGGCAACAACAATAACCACAATAAAAATGAGGCACATCTATGGACACTTTTTGGGGAGCATAAAAAACGCCTTCGCCTTTAACTGAACTCGTAAATTTTGCACGCTTATTTGATGCCATCACATCACGTTATATTACGTTCTGTACTACGTTACGTTACGTTACGGTACGTATATAACGTGACATTACCTATAAAGTATGGTATGGTAAGCTAAACAGCTAAACAGCTAAACTTCATAACAAAATATATTAGATACTTAAAGAAAAAACTTGAACGGGACAAGTTTGTATCACGAAGAACTTTTCTAAATGCACACAAATAAAAATAAAATTTTAAAGTTTCTTTAAAATAAACGTAAATATGACAAAAGTTCATATACGATTTTATGTATGAATTCCTTTGAAAAATTTTTAATATTGTTGCTTTCTTCATGGAATACGTTTAAACTTAGCTGGGCTTATGAGGAGCAGAAAAAAAAACTCGGTTTAACGTACCCATACGTTCGTATGAGACCCAACCATAGGAGCCTAGGAGCATAGGAGCAAGAAAAATCGTAACAAAATTCTAATATGAAAAATTAACAGAGTGGCGAGGGGCGAAAAAAATGCCAAAAATTCGAAAAAAAGGGCGAAAATTGCAGTTTAGTAAGCAACAAACGAAGTTGCAAACTTCACTGCACCATGTGAAGGAATAATTTTGAAATTGCGCGCTGCTTTTAAATTGTAACGTGACAAGTTTCACACCAGAAGTTACCACATTTCGCAAGCAAAGTACACCGCAGCATGATTTCTGGCAGCATTGCTTACCGAGCAGTTGTACGCCTTGGTTTTTGAAATGTTTGGTCCTGCTTCCTTCTTATTCTTTCCTGTTGTTCTTTTTTACTTTTATTTTTTACATTTTTTTTTTTGTTTCGGAAGAGTTTTGGAACTATTTTCTTATTGCCATTAACTTCAGAAGTTTATGCCTTGTTTCGAATAGTTTTACTAAATTTCATAATGTGTGTTCAGAAAGTGCTTAAGGTGTATGAATGTTCGACTTCTTCCATTTTTTTAATGAGAGCACAGTAGCATAAAATTTTGCACGAAACAATATGCAGTAGGCCACGTAGAAACTCAGAACTATAAATATTTATTTTATGCCTGGCAACTCTTAGAAGAAATGCCACAATTATTGGTTAAAGATTGTTGGAAATAGTTAAAATTTCTTATAAATAAATTGTTGAAGATTTACTTTTGATCTTTGTTATCTTTTCTGATTTTCTTTTCAATTTAAATAATTTCTTAGATAATTATATGATAATGCAAGTGTTTCTTTCTCTGGGATGGTTGACACAAAAGCCATAAAATTTTGTGTAAATTGATGTCGAGTGCGCACATGTACGGATGCTGCACAACCTTTTTCTTGATGTCTCTATCCCGCACACCCTTTCTGTGAATTTCGTGTAAGTCATGCGTTTTAAATATGCACGGATGGTGCACAACCCTTTTCCCGATGTCTCTATCCCGAACACCCTTTCTGTAAATTTCGTGTAAATCATGCGTTTTAAACTCCCCCTCCAATACTTTACGCTATGCTTCGAGAAGTGGAGTAATGGGGTCATCTGAATCGAAAACGAGAGATACAACCCTGGCACTTATAACTCCGATCACAGTGTATACTTTTAGTCCAACTTTCAAGGCTAGCAAATAAATCCCGCCCCCTCCACCTGCTTGCGCAACGCCCATGCTTTCTGGCTTAGGTATTAAGTCTCATGCTAATATCTCTCTCCCCGAATTACTGGAATGAAGTTTGCACATTGCTGTGAAAATCTGCTCCATTGATTTCGTAGAAGTGATTTTAATGGGTTCAAGTCTCAAACGGCGAAAAAAAAACATGCACGACTAGGAGTGTCTAAAATGTTTTAGATTAGAAGTGGAACTACATCTTTATAAAATAAAAGCATATTTAAGTGCATCCTGTTGGCCACAATTTATGGAATTTATTATTTCTTCCTAAAGTATTTAGAATAATAAATCTGTTAAAAACAGATTTCATTTAAAACCTGAGGGTATCTCTTTGTCTGACTGTCAAATGCTGGGTTATTCTGAAAATAATTTGACTTTAGATTAAAGATAATTGAAGACATTTTCCTCTAGCATATTTATAATTTATTTGGTAAGCTGCCAGAATTTTATGAGGACTAGTATTATTTTAGTGAACCGCTAGACCTTATCTTCAGAGATTCATAAGATCTCTGTTTTTTTTTTGTTTAAAAGAGGAATTTAATTGATGACAGTAGAGTTTTGAATTGATTGTGACAATGTCTAGTAAGTGTTCGAAATAAAAACTTTGGTGTTGATAAACTTATGCCACAATAATGTTACAATCCACTATTATGATTAGCTAAACCAATTTACATTTTGAAAGAGATGAATGTTGGTTAAGAATGAATGTGGATGCAGTGAATAAAACTAAGTTTGCTTAAAACATAGAAATCTTGCCTTCTCATTAGAGTGTAGCGAAAAGATTATGAAACTCAAATTTGGGTGTGCATTAGGGCAGGATAAACGATGGTCAACATCATGAGAAGTGAAACTATAATAGAGCATTATCGTTAGACATATTAATATGCGACTAGTAACTATTTAAAACGTTGTTATGAACTGATTTGAGTGGAGTCAAAACAAAAACGCTTTTTGTTGACGAATATTGTTGGTTGTAGTATTCTCGAAATGATTATAGTAAACAAACGTGGTCTTGGACATAATTCCCTTTTTTGCAGAAGATCTGTCCAAATATAATCGTGAAAGTAATGCTTTTTATTCGAGAAATATTAAATAGAGGACTGTCAAAATATTGTTACGAATACAAACATGATATTAGGGATACTGCCCTTAATTCGCTGATATCAGGTGTAGAACTGTTCAGTTACAGGTCCAAACATGATATTAGAGATTTTGCATTGGTATGTGGAGTGACTAGTTTTGGTTTATACTCAACTTCAGTATTCCTATCACCATTGTGAAAGACGTCAATATATTATAACTTTTATATACACAGCTACATGAGTATAGAAATAGAAATAAACAGGGTACCACCTCCCACCGGACCGGAATATCGGAACTGAACAAAAGATATACCGTCTTCCGAATAGGGGCCAGAATGTCGGCCGTTGAGAACCTCCTAATGTCAGAAGGGGTGAGTAGTTGTCTACCAAGTGACCTCCCCCTGGCTCATAACACAAAGTATGTGACTGGAAGTCTCGAAGGGGTGAGTAGTTGTCTACCAAGTGACCTCCTCCTGTCCCATAACACAAAGTATGTGACTGGAAGTCTCGTCTGCTTCTAAACAGAGTCGACAATCTATCTTTTCGGACAGACCCATTTTGTTATGGCGATAACGCAGTACATCGTGCCCCATTAAATATCCAACCAGCAAGCTCAACAGTGTTTGCTAATAAAGAATACCTTACCATAACTGTTGGAATGAACCAGCACTTTAGCCTGACGGTTACCTGGAGCTTGAGCGTATTTTGTACTGAAAGTATAAAATTTATGTATTATATAAAGTTTGTATTTTATTTATAAAAATTCTAATATATATTATTTAATCTGTAAATCTTAAAATTTCGTTATATTTATTTTATTATCAATCAAAATAAGGATGAACCTTACCATTAGAGCTTCACCAGCAAAAATCAAGCAATGCAAATACAAAAATCATGTAATAACGACGACAACAACAACAACAACAACTATTCTAATGAGAACAACAACAAAAATATTAATATGTACAACATTATGAGGATACAAGCACGTTATAAGAGTGTTAGAAGGTTATGTGATATATTTACATGTAACGCGTGATGAAAAATGTTTAACTGTTTATTTATGCAGGACGCATATCCTTTTGCTAAGTTGCAAATCCTTTTAAGATGATCCTCCGACCAATTTACGAGCGTTGGCGTGGAGGCACTTGCATAAGCGGAGCTATGTGTGCTTGTAAGGGGCGTATGTCAGTGCATGTGAGTAGTTTTACATCCGCAAACACTGATTAGCATTCCAAGCAGACATACGTCGTACATAAAATATGTATCCGCCATCGCAACACAACTGTAATACTCTGACAGAGTACTGGAATAACAACAGTAACAGCAACAACAATAAATACAACAACAACAACAATTATTATTATATAGAAGGACTCAAATAAAAATAAGTAACACACGTTTTCTCTGGTATCCTTCTTGCGTTTAGTTATGCTTCGTTATTCTTCTTCAGATCAAAAAAATGTTAGTTAAATTTGACGTATTCAGACGTGTGTGTTGAGTTTAATATCCGCATAAATTAATATCGCATTTAATGGAAGAGGAAGTATATCATTCATCGTGCTTATATACTGGCTGGATGATCTGATAGTTAGCTTAAGCATTTAGGGTTTTCCTAGGTTTAATAAAGTTAAAGGTTAAGACGGGGAATATTTAATTAGTATTTCATTGAGACATCATTATTTAAATGACTATATTATTATATACCTAAACACATTCTTCAATATTTTTCGTGTATCAATTATAGACGTATCTATTTAAAAAAATTCCTCAAACTTATTCATATGTTAATTACATTTTACTAGAAATATTTTATTTAATAAAAATTATTGCAAATTATTAGAAAAATATAAAGTTTATTGAAATATTTAAATAAATATTTTAACATCACTTTCAATTAGATATATCACATCTAATCTGTTAATGATTCACTACAAGATACGACCTTGACATCCCTTACTGCAATATGGATTACACTGAGCCCAACTCGAACCTAAATCAGCAACGTCCTTTCTATTCGAGCTATGCTTGGGAGCCGACACTCCTGCCTTAGACTGATCCATACTCTTACCATGCAAAAGGCATTCGGGTATATGCGGTGTACATACATCCTTCTTTCTATTAATTGCACTAGATTGTGAAGTACTTTGTTTAACTTCCATTTCATCCTTTATTTCAGCTAGTGAAGCAGAAAAAGCAATCTCGTTAAGTCGTCTCTCACGGCACACATCCTCGAATAGCTCATCACCATATTTTTTACGCAACCTAGCATACATTTCTGTCAAAAGTCCACCAGCATATGCTTCTCGTTGTGCTGCTGGAAGCCAACTAAAGTTACGTTTCCACTCGCGTCGTGTGGAGTGTTCCTGCTGAATTGCTTCAATGGCCTTTATTATGTCTTTATGTGACATATTACGTACTTCCCCCATGTTGAAATGTGAAAATATACTAGATCTAGATAATAGCAAAATATGTTTTAATCAATGTTTTGATATATTATTTTTAGTCTGAAGAATAGTTTTAAAGATATAGATATATGTATTATATAGTGTAAATTAGGAATAGAAAATCTAAGCTTACTACTTAAATAATTAGACTACATTTAAAATGATTGGTTACAATATTATTTTAAAATAAATATTTTAATAATATGATACATTCCTTCACTTCACTAGTTTGTAAGCGGATTCTGTTCAATCGAATGCAGTTGTAGTGCACTTTATCAGCGGTTTCGTTTTCATCGAATGTAGGTGTAGGAACCAGGTATTCATTTGGAGTATGGAAGTGAATCAAATAACCGAATACGATATAAAAAGATGGTAGAGGCCCTATGCTCCACTGGGATATAAGGATAAGAGAGAGAGAGAGATGAAAACCACGTACCTTCACTAGCTTGTCAGCGATTTCGTTTTCATTAAATGCATGTCTAAGGAACAGGTATCCACATCAGTAAGGAAGACATGTTTTAGTTTATCAACGGTTTGTTTTCTATCGCATCCCTAGTTACTAGAGTGTGGAACAAATAATGTGTGGGATTTTTTCTTTACTAGTTTCTTAGCAATTCTGTTGCTATCGAAATTGTACTGATCAGGTTTCCAAATAAGTATTGAAGTACCCTCGTTTATTTGCTTATCAGTGGTTTCGTTTTCAGCGAATCCAGTTATAGTGACCAGGTATACAAAATAAGTGTTGAAGACACTCTAATTTTAGTTCAGTAGCTTATCAGAGGTGTCTATTCCAACGAATTCTCTGTGGTTATATGTATATATACATATATATATATATATATATGTATATGTATGTATATGTATGATTGTATAAAACGCTCTACTCCACTAGTTTGTAAAGGGGTTCGTTTCCAACGAATACAGTTATAGCAACCACATGAGTGTAAATGAGTGTAAATACACCCCTTCTTCACTAGTTAATCAAAGAATTCTTTACTATCGGATCGCTAGTGACTAGATATCTAAATGTGTGTGGAAGACTCTCTCCTTCAAGTATACAGGTATCTAAATGAGTTTTACATTTTCATGTCATCTCAGATATAAGCTATACCTACATATGTACATTTAAATGTCTTCGGACTACTGTAATTCCAATGAGCCGAAATTGGTTTTTATAGTAGGCTGATTATTCGAATATACAATTAAGCTGGTGTTTTACTTATATAGTAAATATTCTTTTATTCTTGGTTGTTGAAAAGTGTTTACCTAGTGCTTTTATCTCTGACTTCAAAATATTTGTTTTACTAGGAGATATGAGACTACTATCAAGCAGTATATCTTAAGCTAGTAGTTAGATGTTTTAGAATTTATAATTAGTCCTCATAAACTTTTCATTTAATTGTTCGTTGTGCAGCATTATTCATTAGACTTTTATAGAAGCCTTGTTCTTTGCTTTTAATGTTTGCCGCTAAAACAATTAAATAAAAGTAAATATCTTTAAATTATTTTAAAAAACAATTTTATAAATTTTTGACACCTACAACCATTAAAAAAAAAACAAAAAATAATTTGCGGAACCAAAACTTTTGGGATAAAAACTTTTTTATGGAACTCTGAATTAATGCGTCAATGAAACCTAAAATAACAAACAAATTTTTTATTTTTCCACTTCTTTTAAGAAATTGCTTTATTTATAACTAATAGATAATTTTTTTGCTAAATAAACTCAGTTCCAATGTGACCCATATTGGACTTGAACTCGGATTAGTAAGTCAACAAATTTTTTTTGGGTTCAA